TGAAATATACACGGCATGAAACTTGCACATGACCTAATTGGCAGAAGAACAGTACGCAAGTAACATTCATCCACTTTCTAGTCATTAGGCAAAATCATAATTGATTGATCAATATTCCTGCCACAACCCAGAAAATTGATCTCCATTTTTTTGGGATGTTGCCAAGACTGGGATTAGAACCCATGACCCAAGTGCTGTAAGTTCTGAGCTCTAACCACTAAACCACTGTGGGAAACACAGTTTGAGTTATAATGTAGAATAGTTACATTGTTTAAAAATGATAAAGCGAGCGCTGGTCAAATGATATAGACTAGTAAAATGGTATTACACAAGATAAATATAACCACGAACAGTAGTGCATGAACTCGTGAAAGGTCATCCACCCCTGTGACAGTGTACTACACTATTGAGCACCTTTCTGGCTCCTGTGGCTGAGCTAATTCCTCCCCAGGACCATTTGGGCACCCACCCTGATGGATGGATGGATGGATGGAGCTGGATGACTAACCCATAGCTGCCAGCATACCGCTGCACCCCCAGATGTGCGATGTGTAATAACCCATGCACATTAATACTTTTGTTCTGGTGAGTGTAGATCAGTCCCAAGGGTGGTTTACCTTTCACGAGTTCATGCACTACTGTCCGTCACGGAGAGACCACACGTGCCATTCATAGAGCACTCTCTGAGTTGGTACTCTCACACGAAGGACATTCCATTATTCAGGAATGATTCTATGAACTTATTTTAGCACGATTTACCAGTTTACATCATTATTGCAATTCTTTGCACTTTTTGGTTTTTACATGCGTTCATTATTGATCACATGCATTTATAGCGCTGCACTTGTCTTTAACATACAATAGTTATGTGATTAAAGAGAATGAAGATATATAACTATATTGGGAAATTAGAAGTATATAAATTATTTGAGATATAAGTGTGAAAAATTTGAAAATAAAATGTATGACATTCATTAGTAAATGCAATACTTTCCTGATCATTTTGGAGAAACAGCCAAAAAAATAGCAAAAGAGAATTTTCAGAATGTAATAGTACAGCTGTATTAGAATTTTCTATCAGAAAAACGCCAATGTTAATAAAGCCCGCGCTTGTGCGCCATCTAGCGAATATATCCGGTATTGCACCTAAAAATGTGCCAGACGGGATTAACCACATTCACTAATGGCAAAGTAGTCAGTAGACGCTCGTTAATGAGCTTGCTAGACGCTGGTCAGACGACTGATTGATTGACCGGAGTCTGCCTGAATGGTCAGTCTCTGCTATTACACTCACATCTTAGTGAATCAGGGCCATATTGTCAATCCTTGGTGTGCTGGTGACATTCTCCCTTACTGATTCTGTTTGGTTCCAGCTGACTGTCGCTGTAGTACCCACTTATACACACAGCCATTTTTAATGCAAGAATGTGTGCGTTTGGATTGTACACTTGCATGATGAGCAAATGAGCTGCGTGCAGGGGAGTCCCCTCCCACAGTCACACATACACAAAGGGAATCCCTGCCCTTTTTTGTATAGACAGTTGCAAAGCCATTTCATCACTAATCACCAGGTATTATTTATATTGAAATCTGCAGACCTAAAGGGTAAGAAATGCCTAATGCAGGCCATAGACGGTTTGTTTATTGGCCGATGTTTCGTCCGAAAAACGAAACATCATTCGTTTTGTAAACCGATGTTGCCACCAATGATTGTGAAAATGGGCCGTTTTTCGTGAATTTTCCAGCATGACCGATAAACGAAATGAGGAGGGACCGTGAAAATCGGCAGATGCCATTGCATAACAGTGCGAAAATCAGCAGATTAGTCTTTTGGACAAAAAATCGGCCGATAAACAAACCGTCTATGGCCTGCATAATTCTAACTCTTCTTAAAAATGTTCCCACTCCCCTCCTGCCTAACTTGTATTATTAAGGTATGGACATTTACCTGTTTTTGAATCACTCTCTTCCAATCACATAATCTCACAGCTCCAGCTCTCCTGTGTTAGTGAGCGGCTGCTGCAGGGGAGAAGCGAGAGCACTGACAACGGCTGGGCCACGGAAGCCTATGAGTGACATCATCGCTCTTGGAATTTCCAGCTTTCTAGATCACTCTCTCCTCTCTCCTGCAGCAGCCGCTCACTAACACATGAGAGCAGGAGCTGCGGGATAAAGAGACCCAACCAGAGTGGATTAAAAATAGGCAAATACATGGATTTTTTTTTTATACAGGTTAGACAGAATTGAGGGGAAGAGAGGGAAGGGAACCATTTTAAGAATAATTAGACTTAGGTTTTGCTTCCACTTTAAACATATGGAGAATGAGTTTCGAAATTACAAAATTGAAAAACATTCATAAGATTTTTGGTGGTGATTGGGTTTTTACATATACTTTATTGATATTTTAAGGAATACACAAACTCTTATCTATTGCAATTTTGTTTTGAAATATCTGGTTAGAATTCAGCTTTTACATTAGCCATGATCTGTGTAAAGGTGATGCATAAACGTGAATGATCTCCAGTACTTCCCCCGTGTTTTGTGGAGCTGTTTGCGCCGAGCAGTAACAAGTGCAGGTGTGCGGTTTTAATGACATCCAGGTGCTCCCGGATCTAATGTTTGTTTCATGATTTGTGGCTGGCTTCTTTTTTTTTTTCCTCCTCCTGCACGGTTTTCTAATGTTTATTGTGAATTGTGCATATATGTATTAACGTTGATGTTTTGTAAATATTTTGTATGACGAAGAATTTGAATTATTGCATGATTTAATTGGTTTTATTTAAAAGTATAATATACCAGCGAAGCATGATAGGAATTCCAGCTGCAAAAAAAAGCCTCTGTTGGAAAGATCTATACCCTTGGAAAGAGAGAAAGCCAACACAAGTGTGGGGAGGTTGAAATCACCCATCAGCTGGTGAACTACATGTCACAGTATGTTCTGCTAGACAGGATTTAAGGACTTATTTTCACAGGAGCAGGCAAGAAGTAGAGAAATCTGACACAGGTGGGCCCAAGGCAATAGTCCAGTCTGTAACACCCTCCTAGTTTGGTGCTAGCTAGGTTATGCAAATCTAGTTCTTTAGCTGTATAGTAAGCAGTGGAACAGCTTTTAATGGCTTAGTCTACTCTTTCAATGGTTGTTGGTTTTGACTGCTTTCTCATGCCTTCTGGAGGGTTCTGGAACAAAGTGACTCAGGGACGTCAAATCTACAGCCTGAATATCATGTGGTCCCAGCCGAGGGCCATCTTTAATATTGATTGGACCTTGGGCAAACATTTTCTTCTCCCTCACCATGGAATTTTACTCTCCACCTACTCTGAGACATACAATAAATATCAGCTAAAACTCAAAATCAGTTTACTGCAGCAGATCAGGCAGCAATTACAACTGGTTGTTGGAGGTTACAGCATATCATTACAGTTCACTGACAGGTGAGATGAAAGAGGTTACAGCACATGCTTTCTGATTGGTTGCTAGAGGTTACAGCATATCATTACTGCTCACTGATTGGTTGCTAGAGGTTACAGCACATCATTACCATTCACTGATTGGTTGCTAGAGCTTACTGCACATTATTATTGCTCACTGATTGGTTGTTAGAAGTTACTGCACATCATTACTGCTCACCCCCGTTGGTTGATAGAGATTACTGCACATCCTTACCACTCACTGGTTGCTAGTGGTTACAGCAGTTAATTACATCTGACTCATTGGTTAATGAAGGTTACAGCACATCACCTCCTCACTGCCTGCACACCATGGACTGAGAAGGTTAGGGGATCCACCAAAAAGACAGAAAACTCCTAGGACTCCTGGGATCAATGGCAATGCTGGGAGGAGGGTGTGGTCAGTGGCAGTGCTGGGGGGAGGGTTGATGGAATCAGTGGTGGAAAGGATGGGATGGCAGTGCTGGGGGGATGGGATGAGTGACAGTGCTGATGGGGGGATGGGATCAGTAGCAGTGTTTGGGGTGGATGGGATCATGGCAGTGCTGGATGGGAGGGTGACATTTCTACACCGACCACCAATGTTAGGAGGGATTAAAAATGATGACCAATGTAAGGGGGATTTACACTGAGCACCAATGTAAGGGCAAATCTTCACTTAACACCAATGTAAAGGAAAATTCACACTGACCACCAAAGTAATGAAGAATATACACTGACAACCAATGTAATGGGAGATTTTACACCAACAACCAATAATTTTTTACACTGGCCACCAATGTAAGGGGGAATTTACACTGACTAGCAGCAGAGGTGTTGGTGGCTGGACCATTGGGGGGGGGGGGGGGGGGGGTTTGGCATAATATACATATGAATGCCACATTGATGTTAGTGTTTACATATGAATGCCGCATTGTCTCAGCTATTTACATATAAACACTGCCATTATTTATATGTGTATGCTGACACAGTTTTCACACATAAATCATCTGTCCATGTCAATAGGACAGAGCAGGGCAGCATAAGTGACAGCACTTCACACTGAGATATCTGGACACAGCCCGAGACAAAGACTTCAAGAGACAAGGGAATGTAAACAAGTACAGTTGGCAAGTATGGGACAGCTGCTTTTAGAGGCCTCACAACAATGACTGGGCCCAGGGCAGCTGCCCCTTTTGCCCCTCTTTAAAGACGGCCCTGGTCCAATCCTTAGGGTGTGAGTGCCCAGTAGGTGGCTGGGAGAGTGCATAAAAAGTTTGAGGCCTAGAGCAGAGAGGTCTTGTCAAGGAGAAGAAGTTCCCAACCTAAGGGACTGCTGCCCTACTGGGCAGTCCAGCTGTGCTTTTTAATTTGCTCATCAAGATTCCTCTTGTATTAGCTAGGGGACCTAATCTGCTTAATTTTCTGGAGCTGACTGAGCGATTTGTCTGGGGATCTGGCCTGGAGAGCCCAGTGACTTTGAGCTACTGATGTTCCTCTTACATCAGTGTCAGGTTGTGCTGAAAGGTGGACATTCCTTATGGTGTCCCTGTGTGGCTCAGTCCATTATTTTGCTGCTGCAAAAGCTGTGCTAGGAAGCTTTGAGAAAGAGGAAATTGCCCTCAAGTTGTTACTTTACATTACTGGAGTATCCCACAGTTACCCTATACACATCCAAGTTTTAATAAAGCATCAAAAAGAAGAATAGCTACCCCTGGGCTTGTCAGGAATGGACTCAGCACTGGTGGTGGGACTCACCTGCCGTGTGGGCTGTAGCACCAGAGCTGACCAGCGGGTGCTCTCAGCAGCCAGAAGCTCACACGTGCAATCAGCCAAACCTGGGGCTGATTGCAGAAAGGTGTATTTAAGGCATGACCAGGCCTGTGATCTGGGCCTTGGTGTATGTTTTCCCATGAGCCTCTGTACCTGGTATCTTGTGTTCCTGCTTTGTTGCTGACCCGGCTTGATCCTGACCTCTGCTGACCATCTCCTGTTGAACCCCTGGCTTGCCTGACCATCCTTCTGCCTGATCCCCTGTACCGCGCTGCCCGTGAGTTACTGAACCCGGCTTGTGGCCTTGACCATTCTCTGCCTGCTCCTTTGGTACCTTGCTGCCCGCATGTTGCTGACTTGGCCCGTCTGACCACGCTAACTACTCTGCCATCCATCCATCCTGCACGGATCCAGCCGTACCTGCACATACCTCTGGCGGATCCCTCTACCACTAGCAGGTGTACTCAGGGGCCGCGACCTGGTTCCTGTCTGCTCCAAGTCCATCCCCACCATCAGGGGCCCTGGTGAATAAGCAGACTGGGAATTAGACTCCGCGCCCTGGGGAATCCTGTCCTGAGGACCACTAGAGGTACCACCAGACGGTCATTACAGAACCCTACGGCCGGCCTGACCGTTCCACCTCTCCAGCCCTGACTACGCCTGTGTTCCTGCACCTACTAAGATTAGTGGAAGGTTGGTTTGTTCACTGTGCGTTTATATATATATATCTGGGTGGCTAATAATAAACTATTATTATACTATACCTGAAACCTGCGTTTCCCTGTGTCAGTCCACACCTTTCTGGTCATTCCTAGATTCCTGACAGGGCTATTTACTGAGCCAGAAGAATGAATGAGCCTGTGTGCCTGACTGCTGATACACTAGCTTGGAAAAAGAACCCTGGGCTTACTCATCAGGCTCTTTAGGGAGTGAATGCTACACTCCCCCTTCCCCTGCAGAATCTTTGGGTTCTTCTCCACACCAGCTCCTGTCATTTTTTTACATTATCCCATTTGTAGTACATTGATACTTTCTTCAGCCTTGTAACCGTACCACAGTACAGACCTGTAACTGGAGATATAGTCTGTGGGAGCCTTAGCATTGCACCCATGATTCACTGATCATGGCTGCCCCACTTTGTAGGCTTCAATGCAAAAACATTATAAATGCAGTTTTTTTTATTCATTAATATTGGTGAATATTGGTGATTTATTTATTTATTTTGCATAAGGAGAAATTTGCCTTTAAAATACTTTAACAAAACAAAGTCTTTCAGTAGACATGATGTGGAAGAGTTTATGATTTCATTATTCTGCTTTAGCATAAATATAAACAGGGGGTTCCAGTCATTGAAACCCAAACTGACATGATTCTTAAAATATATTTTCTCTATACTTTTGGTGGGATACCTGCTCCTGGTTGTCCTGGTGCCTCAGATGTCTGCTCAGTGGGACTTGAAGCTACCTTATGGGGTTTTGCTCAGTGCAAACAAATTTTATTTGTATACTGCATAGCGACTGACCTCTTTATATTGCATCCTTCTGAGGAACCAGGTTTTCATCCATTTGAAACGTGCAGAGAAAGACTATTAATGAAGAACAACATCTCCCAAGACATCTTGCTCTCTAGCTCCTTCGTCATCTCCTTCCACACCCACCTCCAGGACTTCTCCAGAACCTTTCCCATCCTTTGGAACTCTCTACCCCAGTATGTCCAGTCAGCCCCCATCCTGTCTGCCTTTAGGCGATCTTTGAAAACTTATTTATTCAAGGAAGCCTACCCCACCTCCACCTAAGAACTGTACTTGAGTCACCTCCATCAGATCATCCCCTGCAGCTATCACCTTTTGCATCACTTCCACCTTTAGATTGTAAGCTCCATGAGCAGGGCCCTCCTATTCCTTTTGTACTGAAATGTGTATTGTAATTATACTGTCTTCCTTTATATTGTAAGGTACTGCACAAACTGTTGGTGCTATATAAATCCTGTATATTAATAATAATATTAATAATATATTTATGATGGATGATACTCACTTCCCTGAGTATATGTAAGGGTTTACAACCAATTTAATAAAAAAAAAGGAAATCTCTAACTAGGTTTTTATAAAAATTGCGAATGCTTATGGTTTAACTTTAACAAACAAGAAATATAAAACAAAATGTGTTTCTATGGAAATCAAGAACAAATGGCAACTATGGTGTGTATTTCTCAGTAAGATTATATTCCTGTATTTAATGATCCTTTTTTTCTAATCTAAATAAAGTTGCAATTTATGGGACCCTGCCTTCTGTATGGCTTTACCTTTCGTGGTTCACTATTGCCAGCTGAGAAACCGGCGGCAATCTCTACGGTATAAATAACCATCTATCTATTGAAAATGCCTTAAATAGAGACAAGTGTAAAGCTAACGTGGAAACGAGAGAGCCTGCTGTGCCGGAGATGAGGAATGTTTGAATAAATTGTCTGTGGGTGAAGTAAATATACCTCTTCAAAGCAGCTAATGTCAGAATTGTCTGAGCAGAAGGATGATAATGTGCCTAAAGCTCTGAGCTGGATGGTGATGTACCTGGTAGAGGTCTGTAGAAAAGACAGGGCTTATACTGCCCCAGGAACACATGATTGGTGCTGCCCTTCTGCACAGGCTCTTTTCATACCTTTCACCTTCTTGGGATGGAAAATGTTGTGACAACACCGTGATTGCACCCTGAATCCGACTTCCATCAAAAAGATCATTTATCCATATTAGGTTAATCAATTATTTATCACTAGGGGCAGCAAAGTGGCTACGTGGTTAGCACTTCCGCCTAGCAGCACTAGGGCCGCAGGTTTGAATCCCAACCATGACACTTCCTGCCCGGAGTTTGTATGTTCTCCCTGTGCTTTTGTGGGTTTCCTCCCACTCTCCAAAGATATGCTAGTAGTTTAACCCCCCTGGCGGTATTCCCGAGTATAGCTTGGGGTAAAGTTTCAGTACCACAAGCGGTAACCCCGAGCTACACTCGGGCTTACCATGCGGCGCTACTCCGGGATCTGTTCTTCTTCTACCTTGTCCTGGCTCCCGCGATGTCTCTCCTGCAGTGTCCCCGGCAATGTCCTCCGGCGGATGCCGGCATCTGTCATCTGGGTTCCGTCCCCTGCAAACGTCGGGACGTACAGGGATGGAAATTTGAAAATGACAAAAAGTGACATTCACTAAATACACTAAAATCACATAGTAAAACATTCCTGTATCAAAGCATTTCACATACATTTTGTCCCGAGTGCTTTGTCCTGCGCCCTGCCTGCATTTTTACTGTTCTTTCTGCCTGGAAACTGAGAAACGTCCATGGAGTCCAAAAAGCGTCCCTTTAGATCAAAGCGGTGGTTTTAGATCAGCTAGAGAACAGCGATAGTAAATCAGAACCACTTGCAGAATTGAGTGATAATGATTCGTGGGGGAAATTCATCATCAGACACTGAAAACAATTTTGCGAGTTTGATCAGTGATGTGCGAACTTGGCGCTATATTTAAAATTTCAGTGTTTTTGGTTTGATTATATTATTGAATTAAATGTATTATTATAGTATTATTTTTTATGATTATTTATTAAATTATAATTTATGATTTCGTGTTTCAAATTGTAACATATTTACTTAGACTCTTGTTCAGACAGATTTCAGTGAGTTATTCCTAAAAATTACAGGCCTACAATAAAAAAAAAACATTTCCATGCAAAAAAAGTACCGCTTTGAGCACAGAAATATGGACATAATCAGACCGCTAAGGAAGTTAACTGGATCCTGTCGTAATTGGCCCTAGTATGTATGAATGTGTAAGGGAATTCCTGTACGGCGACTGCCGCATAAAAATGAGCATGCGCGCAACATTGCGCATAGAGATGAGCACGGGCGCATTGCTAATAAAGATAAGCATAGGCTCGCGCATGCGCACAAAAATGCGCACACATGGGTGTGCGCACGTGGGGGGTGCCCACTGTTTCTGGTGCCAGACGGACTACTTAAAGGTGGCTCTTACTCTCTGTCAGTGCTGACTGGTCTTCAGCTAATTCCCTGTGTCCTGCTGTATCCTGTGTGTATCCATTACTGACCTGGGCTTGCCATTGACCTGCTCTTGGATTCTGTTTATGCTTCTGCTCATCGGTTTCTGATCTTGGCTTCCTCCTGACCTCACCCTGTTTGATGTTCTGGTACCTTATCCCCTGCTCATTGCGGACCCTGGCTATTACTCTGAGTATGCTTCTGGCTCCAGTTTGGCTCTACAGTCCTGCCTAGTGCTTGTCCTGGCTATCTATTATATCAGCTCCGGTTGTCATGGTGTGTTCCGGCTTCACACTCATTAGAAGTTCTGGCAAGCCACGTACCCAGATCTTGCAGTTCCAGTGGAGTGCTTCCTTAACCTCAGCTGGCTGTTTCGGCATCTCCTCTGTTCCTGACTGGATGCCCTGCTTGCTTTACCAAGGTTACACCTCCAGCCTCAAGTTCTGCAAACAATATCTGCAGGCACTCATGTTTCTCCTGTCCCTCGGCACCATCTATTCCACCTTCACTGGGGCCTGGATTGGAGATACAAGAGGCTGACCTTGTCAATTCAGACTTCTATCAGGCATGTGATAAAATGTGAGTTAGGGACCTTAGATTGTAAGCTCCTTGAGGGCAGGGGCTGTTGTGAATGCAATATATATGTGAAGTACTGCGTAAAAACGGCGCTATATAAGTACCTGTAATAAATAAATCAGTAATTAAGGCAACATGTTAAATATGGATACACTCATAAATGTATGAACTGCCATTGTGGACCTGTTGCTAGAATAAAAAATTCAAAATATGGCCACCAATCTTCCCTCTCTTGAAGTCCCAAAGCTTGCTGAAGTACGTTCTGCATTCAACAAACTTCTGGTATCCCTGAAGAAGTCATGTGATTCTTGATGATACGTATGGGGCGGAGCCAGGTGACGTCACTAGTAGTACCTATCACTGGGACTGTACAGCACTGTTGGCTTTTGTTGATGTGCACTGTACTATGTGAGTGGACAATTTTTTTATTTTAATAAATACTGGATTACTGTGTGTCAGGAATGGACTGGCCAGCAATGGTGGGACTCACCTGCCTTTTGATCTGCAGTACCAGGGCTGGCCAGCGGGTGCTCCCAGCAATCAGAGACTCAACCTTTCAGCCAGCTAACACCTGGAACTGATGATACTGGTGTATTTAAGGGATGGCCAGACTTGCAGACTCTGCCTTGGTGTTGTGTTTGTCCTGGGCCCTGTATCTGTCCTGCATCCTGTTTCTGTACTACGCTGCTTGCTACCTGTTCTGATCCCTGGCTTGTGACCCTGACCATCCCTCTGCCTGACCCTCTGTACTACGCTGCTTGCTACCTGCTGAACCTGGCCTGTGACCCCGACCATTCTCCGCTTGCTCCCCCTGTACCTACCTGCCCAATTGATATTGACTCGGCCTGCCTGACGACGCTTGCTTGTATGTACTGTTATCTGTGGGTGGTTGGTTTGGTTTGTTTGCACTGTATTATGTTTAGTATTGCACTGCGTTTATGTTTGTATTGTTAGTGTTAATAAATTACATTGTTAATCACATATCTGAAGTCTGCGTTTCCCTGCTTCAGTCACACACCTCTGGTCATACCTGGGAGCCCTGACATTGTGATACTACACTATGGAAGTTACCATCAATTTTGAGTGTAAGTTTCTGCTGTCGGAGGAGTTGAAGGTCTCTTAAACGGGCATACACCAGGTGAACCTTTGATCAAGAAAAGAGGAAGCTGAAGTAAATACCCTGGAACGGGGAAAACACACTTGTAGACCTATTTCACACATAGGTCCAATAAACCAGGCGAGACGCTGATTGCACAAGAAGTGGAGCACAAGTGGAATCAAAGTTTTGAGTAGAGCACCTGATTTATTTAATCAGACAGTCATCTACCTTCACTAATATATAATTATTGGATCACAATAATTACAAAGGTTGAGTACTATTTAAATTATCAGTCTTGGGTGGAGCACAGTAGCAACACAGTGACACAATGGGGTTGATTTACTAAAGGCAAATAGGCTGTGCATTGGAAGTACAGTTGCTCTAGATCTGAGGGGAACATGCAAGAAAAATAAAAAAAAACAGTATTTTTGCTTGCACATGATTGGATGAAAGAAATCAGAAGATATATTCATCATTTCAGAGCTTCCCCTTGGATCTAAAGCAACTGCATTTGCAGTGCATAGCATATTTACCTTGAGTAACTCAACCCCAATATATTTTTGTTATTTTGAGTATTATTGAAAGTTCTATTATTGAGTGGAAATTGATTTTTTATTGTGTTGAATTTGGTGCATTGACACTGATTTGAAAAATAGTGCTGGATATATACGTGATATATTTGTGGAGCAGCGCGGCACGATATAACAATGATATTCTTATTGCTGGGTGTGCCTGGATCCCCTTGCCCCAACTTTATCTTCTTCTCCCCACTATCCCAGGCTCATATTTAGAAAGAATCTGCATACATACATTTTTTTCCACTACTACAGAGCGTTTCATGCTTCCTTGCTTTACTGCAAAGTGCCCTTAATAGATACAAAGCAAAACAGTCAGGAATGATCAAAGTAGCTGCATCCAGGTATTGTGAACTCCACTGTGCTACAATGGCCCCTCTTCCCGCACTGGGTACCTATGCAACCCCCCCAGGCGCCACTTAAAACTAGTGCCCCCCTTTGTCTCTCTTTACTTAGCCCCAATGCCTCAAAGAGCACCAGTAACCCCCACTGAAAACCATTGCCCCCCACTAACCCCACTGAACTTAGTGTCCCCTACTGCTCTATTGCTCCCCTAACCCTGACCCCAACTGAGGACCAAGACCCCTCCTTGCTCCTCACTGAACACTAGACACGCAAACCATATTTTTATATGCTTGTAATTCATTCATCCCTGTATACTGTCAGAGCCACGCATTCTTTTGAAATGTGTAATCTATGATATTAAAAAATAATTCTATTATTTGGTCATTTTTATTTTGTAGTTGACCTTTAAAGTGACACTACCACAATGAGGAAATTACAGCCATCTCTCCCAGGCACTGGAGGAATTCTTTCGACTAAACACAGGTTCGGTGTGAGATGCATCCACTTTATGGGAGGCTCATAAGGCCTTTATTAGAGGGCAATGTATTGTTATAAAACATGACCTAACTAAGCGCACATCTGACTTTTCACATCAGTTAAACATTGCTGAAACCAGACTCCTATCAACTTCTGTCTCAAAACCTCAGGAGGTGGTCCTGCAGAGGAATAGAAAGCAGCAGAGACACAACATTTAGAAAAGAATCTCATATCGACGAGACAAACATTTTATGAATTTGCCAACAAGGCACATAGGATGTTGGTTAAGCTCAGAGCTAGGCCTCCACAATCTGCTCCTGAGTGCCTCTTTCAGCAAGACAGCATGCCCAACTATTGCCCACACAACATGGCTAAGATTTTTGGCAATTTTCTCAGTAAATTATACAACTGTCTCTTACCAGGACATCACTCTCCTTTCCACAAAGAAACCTTTGATGATTTCATATCTAATCTCAAACTTCCTAAACTTAAATTTACAGAGTTAATTGGCCTTAATGCTGATATATTTATTGGTGAGCTGGCAAAAGTTGGTAAAGACTTGCCTCTACATAAGACCCCTAGTCCAGATGGACTCTCTTACGCCTATTATAAGAAGTTCCTTCCTACTCTGGCACCTTCCCTGCTGGCTCTCTATCAATCACTGTTTGCAGGTGTTTCACCACACCCTCAATTTCAACATTCATATATGACTGTTATATGGAAACCTTGAAAAGACACCGTATCTCCAGCAAATTATAAACCCATAATTCTTCGGAGAATTCGGACTCTAAAATCTTCGCTAAAATATTAGCAAATAGACTTGCCACTATATTACCTTAATTAATCCATAATGATCAAGTAGGTTTTGCACTAGCTAGGCACATGGGGGATAACAGTAGAGATGTATGGTGGACTTAGCAGATGTTGTAAATAGATCACACATGCAAGCCCCGCTTCTGAGTCTAGATGCTTAGAAAGCATTTGACAGGTTGCGCTGGCCTTACATGTTCGAGACATATAGGTTTTAAGGGCCCCTTTTTAAGGCTGCCACTGCCCTTTATTCTTCCCCCACTGCTCAAGGGAATTGCCTTATGC